AAATATGAATCTGCACCTGATGTAAGGTAATTTTCATACTGCAAAGCTAACTGATGTGTTTCTTTCATAAATTACTGTTCCTGTTTCTCTGGGATGCCTTCACATTTTAGCAGACTATGGAAAGTCCATGTAATTTGCAGTTAAGAACGTGTGTGGACTGTAAGTTCGAGGTGTAAACTGGCCTTAGGCTTGACTGTGGATTGTTGTTTTTTTTTATATGTCCCTGTGAGTGGTTTATGATGGACAGAAAATCCGTCCAGGCGGCACTAAACCTCTGGTGTGATAACAGCTGCCTCCATGTAACCCTGAAAAGATTAAGTGTGCACTGAAAACTATTTTATAAACCAATCAGAATATTCACCCTCTTGACATCTTATTTAAACCGTTTAGTCCATTTGTAATACAAAACAAATGATTGCTCAGTTCTTTATATTATGTTGATGGTGAATTGTTTACAGTTAGAGGATATGGGGCAAGGGGTTCTAATGACTTTTAAATGTAGAGAAGTATATTGGGTAGGACTAAACATATGAAATAAATAAAAACTGTTGCCAGAACTCTATATCCATTTTTCTTTCTTTTTTTTTGAGCTGCAAGTTTGTTTTCATGCAGGTTCCTCTCTGCTTCACCTGCTGCTTTTTCTTTCTAAAAACTCTGAACAAACCTTTTTGCATTGTTCCAGTTTTTCTTAGCTTCAACTGATCAAATGTTAGAGCGGCAACTAACAATCACTTTGCAAATTGATTAATTTGTTGATTATTTTTCAATTAATTGATTAATAATAGGATAGGATTCCTTAAATAAGAAATATCTCATGAAATGAAACCAGGTGAAACTCAAACTTTTCCCCTTGGAGTTTTGGATAGGGCATATTGACAGACGAAAAAAAAATCTTCAATACAAAATGTCGACATATATATATTTTTTTTTTACAATTTCAGTATAATTACTGCTCTAAGTGGCTTGCTCTCCCAGCTAAAGGCATGTTTTAGAATCTCTATACTCCAGTTAACGATTAATTGATTACTAAATTAGATGGCGATTATTTCAATAATTGATTAATCATGATCAATCCACTTAATTGTTTCAGCCCTTATTAAAAGTTACTAATTATTAAGAGAAACTGTTTAAACTTGACCTAGGGGTGTTATTTTATTTTCATGTGAAAAGTGCTCAGTGCTATATCCTACACTGACTTTGGGAGTTGTTGAGTCAGTGCCTTCTGTCAGCTGCTTGAGTTGATAAAGCTACGGCCCACCGGGCGCCAGAATTTCCTTTCAACATCTGGAGAACCAGGAGGGGTAAAAAATCCACGACCTTGAAAGATTTGTTAGTGGTGTATCTACCAGGGGTGGGATTCTTTTACCATCTTGATTCGATTTCGAGATTTTTGAGGCTACGATTCGATTTAAAAATCGATTTTGGATTTAAAATGACTTTCAATTCAGAACCGTTTTATCTATAAACAGTAAAAAAGTGAGTGTTAAAAATTCAGAGTCAACCTGTTTTACTTTAAACATAGTATTTACAACCATACTGAGTGTAAATCAAGTTTGGAGTTAATAGTAAAAAAAAATTGAAAGCCATGCAGTGTAACTTTTACTCTATATGGTGTCAATTACCCACCAGTCTCTGAGAGGTCTTCCTGATTTTGACACTAAATTTTGTAAAATTAACTAAGAAAAGTTGACTCTGGCTATAGAGTACATTTTACTCTAATTTTGAATTGGACCAAATGTTATCTTTAACAGAGATATATTCAACTCTGTTGGTGTTAAAGTAACACTTATGTTCTTGTTTTTTTTTTTAATATGTAGAAATTTCACATCCATTTTCTAAGCATGATGTATGAATATTGCAACTTACAAAAAAAGCAATATCAATAACGAAAATAAGTGTCTCTTTTAGTTCACTTAAACACACTGTCTTTTAAATTCTGATAATTTACCAAAAAGCTTACCTTGTCTCTGCAACATCCATATAAAACCCTTGCTCTCCACCACACTATATGGCCTTAGATCATTGGGGTTGAAACAGGCGATTGTACGAGTTATTTACCCGATCCATAGCACGACCCGCACCATCATTTGTGCATGCTCAAACAGAGTTTATGATAGCCCTTGTCTGTCCAGTCAGTTTTGTGTTTTGAACTGACTTCCTGGATTCTGCCTGTGTACGGAACCTGGACTGTATCACTCACCTTGGCTTGGTTTCTCCTTCTAGGACACTGTTGCCTTCTCGGTGTCGTTCATCCGTTCACATGGAGCCCTGGAGGCGGCTACTACTGCAAGCACTGGGCATTCCTCCATTCCAGATTCCTCTCCTACCTCTGTTATCGGACTGAACGTTTAACCAGGTCAGTGACTTTACTTCTAGTCGTCATCAGTCGGATATTCCTGTCACTGACCTGTGTTCTCCCATCTCTGCAGAGGATGCAATAATCCGCTCCACCCCGCTGGCAACCAGCCGCTCGCCGCGCTCATATAGATAAAGCTTGTTACAAACCTCCTCGATCTGTCTGTCTGAATACTGAGTTCAAAGTTCTGCGGTCCTGACAAAAAGAGCATTGTACATTTTTTGTGAATAGTTAATTTTTTTTTTTGGCACACCCCTTATATCTACCAGTCTCAATCTGCTCATTCTCCATTGTATATTTTCTCTCGCCCAGAATAAGGCCCCTGCTTAACTCCCGCCACTTATTCCTACATTTAGCCCTGACCTACAAGGTCTCATGGCACCAGCGCGTTTGGTGGCATTTTTCAAAAGAGTCTAGGATTGGGGATTGATGTTCTACATCTGAATGAGTTATGTTGTAAAGATTTTTCCAAGTTGTCCTAATAAATTACATTGCTGCAAAAGAAAACTGGGATGAGTGAACTAAAGCATTTGTATTAATATCATATCCAAGTTGAGAAGAGACAAGGGTAAACAATAAACCACTGAGAAAACATCCACCTGGGATGTGTACACAGTGTTCTCTCTGCAATCAGCCAGAAAAGGTCAAACATGCTTTGGTGCAACAGAGATGAGGAACAGCAAAGAAAGCTAGTGGGACTGAGAGGAAATGAGAAAGCTGACATTTTCTTTTAAGAAATTATTATAAAGTGCCTCAAGGAACATGTTTTGTCTCTTTATTTAGAACAGACAAGATAAGACACAAATCTTAGTAGTACTTACTGACACATTGTAAACTAATAGATTTGACAAGGGGTCCTTTTCTGGGAAAGTATTCCCTTTTGCTTTACAGTAAATGTGTGGTTGATGCGAGAACATGTATTTTCTACAATAAAAAAATTTATGTGAACAAATCGAGTAAGTAAAATAATTCAGTTATCCTTAAAAAATGTTTATTTCAAAATATAGAACTTTTTCCTGGAGTTTGATATATATATAATCAGCACAGGATGGGAAGGAACTAAATAGCAATAAAATGGAGATTTGTTCCATCAGAAGATATTCATGCATCACATCAAACCATAGATTAGGGAGATTGTTGTACAACTATTTATAATTAGCTCCCATTTAATTTGGGCTATGCCTGTTTTCCTACAATAGGCAGTGCTTCTAGTATATAAACACAACACGTACCAGATCGCTCAGTGCAAAATGCTAATGACAACAGGTATAATGAATGTGAATCAAGAAGCAATAAAACTGAACGTGTTCCTGCTGGTGTGTGCCGACACATGCATTTTTCCCCACCTGTGCCAAGACAGGCTAAGAAAATGCTGATACAGCTTTAGCTAGGGTATGACATGTTAATGGGCTGTCGGGCTGACTATCGAGCAACAATGAGGCATGCATTAAAGCTAGAGGTGTCACTGTGACCTGAAGAATTGGGCTGGCTGTGATCACAGGTTTATAGCAGCACTAAGAAGCTGAGTGAAACAGGATGCAACTGCATTACAAATCATAGGCTGCTAGCAACTGTTACTGCAAGGGTCTGATACACTAACGTAAGAGGTAAATTAATATGTTAGTAGATTAATGACAATTTCAAGATACAAAAGAAATTTAGTCTTTAACAGTTTATTTTTTACTGAATATCCCAATTTAATCTAGCAAATCTGCCCTTAAAATACAAATCATCAAAAATATGTATGGTTTAAGATAACTTCAATGCAGATAGGCTTTTGAATTTGATATTATGAACCACAAATATTAGCATCATATTAAGAGCAGACCTATAAAAAAACAACTCCTAAGCAACCAGCCTAAACTATCAAAAAGTGTAATCCTTGATTTTTTTTATTTATTTTTTTGGCCAGTGGGAAAGGGGTATAATTGAGCAGTACATTGGACCTCCTTAGTATGAGAAGGAGGCAGCATGAATTAGAGCTCTTGTGGAATCGCACATCACAGAGTAGCAGAGGAGAAAACATCAGCATCTATGGCAGTGGTGGTTTACCAGAGAGTAACCTGCAGCTGATGTTTTAAAAAATACTGTCTTCCCTTTTATCTTAACAGGTATACATTTACCTGAAAAACATAATAATGTTTAGGCTTTGGACCTTAGTTAAAATGGGTAGTGTCTGCCTTTAGATGTTAAAGAATAGGGAGATAGTGCTCCACTCTTTGCTGTCTGTCAGAGCAACTGCTAACCTCAGCAACATTTAAAGCTATTATTTCAGGTTCATTGCTGTTTCTCTGATTATCCTGTTGCAGAAACAGAAACACAACAACATGAGTCTAATAAACAATTAAACAGCTTTACACATTGTAATGTTAAAATGGAAAACGTTGAGTACTGATATTTATATAAGGCATTAAGCTAACTGCTCGAATCAATAGAGAAAACTATTCATAAACAATCTCAGACACATCATGTAGAACCCAAGGAATCTGAAATCTTCATGCAGTGTAGTGTAACCGTTTTAGTGATTATACCAATAGATTACAGTATAAAATCATGCAGGATGTTAAACTAAAAGGGCTGGCATCAGAAGATCTAGATTCTGTAAGAGCCAAGAGGTTGAGCAACAATAATGAGGAGCACAGAGTCAAAGTTTGAACAGCCACTCGTGTATTTTTTTTTTTTTTACACAGAACAAGTTAAATGATGAGTCAATACAAAATACATTTGAATAAACCCCCAAAACAAAAATGGTGCGCACAAAAAAAATTGTCCGTTGGGGCCCTGAGTTATTGCAGGTGCACCTGTATCTAAGAGTTCTCAATAATGGAAAAAAATGTGTATGTGTGTGTATGGTACGCGTTTTCCTCCTAGGTTCTTCGGCTCGCCATCTGGGATCTCGTTTGGGTCCTGGGAACTCACTGTCCACCAACTAAAAAAACCTGACCTGTTGACAAGGTCAAATATATCCATTACAATTCGTCCTCAGATGTCTTATCTCAAAATCCCTTTGTAAAAATGCAAATAATGCATTAAATGTTATTTATAAATCTTAACTCAAATCAAATCTCTCTTTTCTTCTAGTTGTACAACATTCAAACAGATTCACACTTTTACTGTTTTTTATAAACAATCAGAACTTTATCACGGTAAGTGATTAATAACAATGAGCTGATAGGATGACTATCATAAATGGAATAAATGGAATAATAAAGTGCAATTGTAACAAAAGTGCAACATATTTAATAAGCTTATCCAGAGATATAAAAAACATGTGCTTAGTTACCCCTCCTGCACTATAGGCCTTCTAATGCAAAAGGAGACCTGCACTAAAAATTATCATCTGGATTCCCTTTAAGGATGTATGCTTACAAAATAGAACAAAATGTTACATATACAATATATCCAATCATTTTCTCCCTATAAACATATATAAAACAACCTAAGTAAACTGTCCTTTTAAACACATTCATCAGAAAAAAAATAAACTCCTCTTTTCTTAAAACACATTCATCAGAAAAAAAATAAAGAAACTCCTCTTTTTTTTTTTTAAACATATTCATCAGCAGCTTTAAATAGCATAGTATTCCTTGCACTTATATGCTCAAAACACTGCACTATTTTCCATTTCAGTCTATTTTCACAGACTCAGAAGACTATATAACTTTTTCTAGCATATTTACCATACACAGAAAAATACCAGAACCTCTAAAGCGTCCCGCTTCATTTCTCACCGTTGTTCTGGGTTTAAAACCGGGTTCACGTTGCCTCCAGCAATGCCGCAGCTCACGAGATGAACGGTAAGAATATAGCCTATGAGATACCAAGCTAGCGTTAGCATAAAGACCTCGCCAAGTCTTAGCATATATCTCTCGGTTTTTTTTCAAACAAGTATCCAACGCAGCTTACCGACGTAGCTTGGCTTCTGCTGTCGGGTTGTTTTCCTCCCAGCTCATGCAGTTTGAGAGATATTATGAGACTCTTTCGGTTCCTTACTGAATATCTCCTTCTCTTTTCCTTTCAAAACGCTTTCGCGGCTCGTCTCTGCACACGCTCCTGGTTCTTCCCGCAGATGCAGCTGCGCAGGCTGTGATTGGCTACTGAGAAATAGCCCCCCCACGTGGGGTACCGTGCTAGGTGACGCCTTTGAATGCCATGGGATATTTTAGCATCTCTGATGTCATGAACTATAAATTGAAGAAAATGACTCTAGCCCTTTTCTCCGTCCCCTTTTTTTACGTTTTTTCCACCTGGGCTACAGTAGCATATCTCTAAAATCAGATAAGGGCATAATTCTTTGAAAGTTCCACACTGCACAACAAAGGATTTTAAATTATCTATTACCACCATTGCACTGCAGATATCATCTACAGGTACTGTTGTGATGCCCTGATAATGTTGTGGGTAGTTTTAATGACATAGCTTATATTTTTTAAACCAAGATGGTAAGTTAGGGATGATTCCTCTTGACATAGTTAAGAGTGACTGACATTTCTTAGCAATGCAGCCACATTACAAGTGTTAGATCCATGATATCTTTCTGCAGCTATGTGGTTAAGAAGAAGGGATTGCAAAGACAAATGGTGAGAGTTAAGAGTTTTGTAATCTGTGGGAGAGATAAGAGGGTGTTAGACAGGGGAAGAAAAAAGTGTAAAAAAAAAAAGTGAGGTAAAATGTATTCTCTATATTTAGCTGTGAAATTTCTGTGTGGAAACTTGCAGAAGGTGTCGGATCTGCCATCTTCGTGTAACCCCAATAAAAAGACAAAAAACACATATTCCATTCTGATATAGCACAATTAACACATCACATATCTATTCTCACCACTTTATCCCCGAGAATGTTTCTGCCAGCTTTTTCTCATGGATAGGGCTTATTATATTAAAATGATCATTATTCAGACATTGACCTTATCAGTGGGTGATTTATTGCTGACTCTACTGCGATATTATCATATTCCCCAATTTTACTGACTTGGGCTGTGGTATATCTGTATCTCATTAGAATCATTTAATTAGAATGAGTCAATATAAGCATTATTGCAGGACAGTATTGGCAATTGCATGAACATCTATCAACTGGTCCCATGTTTTCTACTTTTCATAGCCTTTAAACATTGCAGAACTAGAGAGATAAAAAAATACAGAAAAAATGTAATGCACTTCTTTATTCAAAGTTCTATTAAATGTTTTAAGTCAGAGATCCTTCCACGCTAAGGTGAAGGGATACACAACTCTTGTCCACTGGGGTAAACTCCAACCCAAGGCCTGGCTCCAGTAGGCAGGAGGTTGATGAATGACTTTGCAGTTGTATCTTCTGACTTTCAGATGCTCGACACTCGCATGAAGAGAGGAACTGAGCTGTCCACTGATCACCACCTGTGGTGAGCTGGATACTCTAGAAGAGAAGGCTGTACAAACTTGGCAGGCCCAAATGAGTAGCGACGGTCTGCTGGGAACATCTGCTTCAGCCTTAAGCCAGGAACCTGTTCAACTCCCACCTCCGACAGAGGTCCTGCCAGATTACAGGGGAGGCTGGAGATATGAAGTCGGAGTGGGCCATGTTCTCTGCCTCCATTGTCCATGCAGCTGCCTGTAGCTGTCCCGGTAAGCTCTGCGGTGCATGTCATGGCAGCAATCCCCAAACCCAATGGTGGACACAGGCTGTAGGGAAAGCCGTCAAACTGAATGAGTCTTATTGAACCTGGTTGGCTTGTGGGAGTTCTGAAGGGGAAGAGGCAAGCAGGTATCGTGAGGCCAAGTGTGCGACTGCCCAGGCGGTTGCCGTGGCAAAAACTTGGGCCTGGAAGGAGTTTGGAGAGTCCATGCAAAAATACCACCTGACCTTAAAGCAATTCTGGCAGTCTTGCACCACTGGAGGGGGAAGCAGTGCTTTGCTAACACCGTTTTCATTGCCAGTGGAGAGCAGCTGACCCTGAAAGAGGATATTGTTAGACTATGGAAGGAATACATTGAGGATCTCCTCAATCCAACTTCCACCATCTTCCTTGGTCAAAGAAGGGACTGGGTGCTTAGGGCTTGATACGTTCATCAACCAGTTTGAAGTCACTGAGGTGGTCCAAAAACTACATGGTGGCTAGGCTTCGGAGGTGGATGATATCCACCCTGAGTACCTTAGAGCTCTGGATTTTGTCTGGCTGTCATAGCTGACACGCCTCTTCAACATCACATGGAGGTCTGGGACAGTGCCCCTGGGTTTTCAGACTGGTGGTGGTTCCTCTGCGTAAGAAGGTGCACCAAACAGTGTGTTCCACACTATCAAGGGATCACAATTCTCAGCCTCCCCCGGAAAGCCTTTACCTGGAGAGGAAAGTCCAGCTGATTGTCAAACCTTGGCCTTGGCCTAGGCCTGGTTCCTGGTGGCCATTGGAGTGAGAGGGTTTTTGTGTCTGTCTTGTCTTCTGATTGTGTCCTGGTCCTTCTCCATGAAGCCCTCAAGGTTTTGGCACGGAATGTGAAGAAGGTCAGTTTTATTTCCCTAAGCCTGGCTTCAAGGAGGAGACCAGTTTAAAGTCCTGCTGTAATCCTGGTACGTCTCTTCTCTGTTCTTTCCTCCACTGAGCCTGCCCGTCTTATTTGAGCCTGCCTGTCGGCATCTGTGCGTGTCTGTGTGTGCATGCTTCTGCACCCGTCTGACTTTGGACTCTGAAGCTGCCTAAAAGCTCTGTGGATTCCTGGAAGTCTGGATCCTTCTGTTCTGGTTTTTGGTGGGAACCTCTAATAGAGTGGAGGTTTCCTGGATTCCTGAACTGTTCCTGCCTGCTCTGTCTTCCACTGGCTTCCTGCAAGTTCTCTGGGGCTGCAGCATCAGGGACACTCTGGGCGATGCACGCCGCATCTGGTTGAAAGCCCATCGACTGGATCGCACCCCTTCTAGGGAGATGGACTGTACTGTGAAACCAGTGTCAGTGAATGGGTGGTGCACCGTACCCCTAGTGCAGCCGCCGCAATCCGCAGATTCACAGCAGTGCGCTTCTGTTCTGTCTATGTTTTTATTTCAATAAAGGTTTTGAAACGCTTTCCTACTGACTTTTCTACTTTTCCTACTGACTGTCTCAGCTTGAATACTTGGTGCATCTGCCCCGTTTCTGACAGAATGTGAGCATTACAGAAATGAAAGAAACCTGAAATGAACAGACACAGCTTAATGAAGTTGGTTGTGATTTGGTGCTATATAAATAAAACAAATTGTAAAATTAATTGTATAAAAAAGAAGCTGCCATACAGGCCATAAGGCATGAAATACTGCACTGCATATGACACTAAGGCTGTTTAGCTGGTTCACAGCCTGAGACTCACTGCTCATGTCGATGATCTGTCTCCAGGGAAAATTACTGTAGCCTGGGGCAAAGGTAAGCTGCACACTATGTGCACACTATGCATAGGTTGTTGCTTTCTTTTTAAAATGATGATTAAACAGATGAAGGGAATAGCAACAGCATTTGGTCTCCTATTTAATTACTTTAGCACATTATGTAAGTTAAACATTAATGATATCTGTGGAATGGATGCAGATGTTTTCTTGTTTTTCTTAGTAGGACACCACATTGTATTTTAGTATAACTATTTTTTTTCTAGTTCCATAGTAAAAGAGTGTTACTAATCCTGTTGAAGCATGGAGGGCGGACAGTTCACTGCTCCTTAAAGAAGATGAAAACAGACAACGGTCTCAGTTCCCTGACCCTGACATGGGGATGCTTAAGGGGCCTTAAAGGACAAGCACCAGAAAGGGTACACGTAATCAGTCACTGGGTTATATAACATGTGGATTTTGTGGAACTATTAAATCAGATCTGTACAAAACCAAAAAGGCTACTTCATTTTATATCTTGGGGGGAAAACAATCAGTGAAGTATGTCTTGCAATAAACATAAGGTTTTAAACTACAGTAGGTAGGCCTACTTTGAATGGAAAGGGATTTCTGATTTAATATATTTTGAAAAAAATCATAATCTCTTCCTCTTTCTATAAAAATCAATTGTTTATGTCCACATGATGTTCCTATCTTAATAATTATTTCTTACCTGTAGCCACAGAAGAAACTCAGACTTAGACTGAGACTCAATGTTATTTGTCCTTTGGGATTACTCCTTCAGGGAAATTGTGGTTCTGGTAGAATATATGTAGTATAGACTACAAAGAGTAGAGTTAAAGCAAGATGCCATTAAAGTAAAAAAAATACAAATACAGACATAATAAAAAGAATGTATATAGAACAAAAAAAGCATAAAATGAAAAAAAAAAGTTGTAATGTCCCGTAATATGTTTCTTTTGATATAAAAATATCTGCACAGTAGAGAGCTAAGGAAAGACTACACAGTAGTCGACTTGGATTATTGCACTTGTACTGCAGAGATGTACTGACCTTATAAATAAGTTAAAACAAACAAACAAAAATACACAGGCTAGACAGTAGTTGGCAAGTGTTATTGCACAGTGAGATAGAAGAATATTGCACGAGGGACAATAGGTAATGTTTTGTACAAGATGTCCAAGGAGGGGGGTGATGAGTCTTGTTCCTATCACCTCCACCTTCACCCAAGTGAGGAGCTGTATATTTGATGGCTTGAGTAACAATTGAGTTTAGTGGTCTGTTGGTCCTGCATTTGGAGAAACAATCTCCCACTGATCAGGCTCCTCTGAGTGGTGAAAACAGTGAGCAGAGGGTGGCTGGCATTGTTCATAATGCCCAGCAGTTCGTTAAGTGTCATTGTATCTGCCACCACCACCAGAGTCCAGCTTCTTGCCAATCACAGAGCTGGCTTGCCTCATCAGTTTGTCCAGTCTGGAGGTGTCCTTCTTGAATGTGCTGCCCCCCCCAGCACACCATAGTTTAGAAGAGGAGACTGGCAACCACAGACTGGTAGAACACCTCCAACAGTTATTGCAGATGTTGAACGACCTCAGTCTCCTCAGGAAGTAAATCCTGCTCTTTGTCTTCCAGGTGGTTGTTGTGTGTTGACCAGTCCAGATTATTGTCCATCCAGTTACGCCAACATGTATTTTCCCTTTGGAATCAATAGAGTCTTTTTGAAGAGATTTTGCTGAATATATCTTTATGAGAAATGAAAATTGTATAGAGCTTGCATGGGATTATTCCATTAGGAATAATATATTTCCAAGTAATATTCACTTAACTTTTTATTAATAAATGGTATTAGTCTGTGCCCTAACCCAAGGGTTAGGTTC